AGAGGTCGCTGCTGCAGGAGCCCTTCGAGTACTCCGAGGAACCGCGCTCCGAGGACGATGACTGGAATCTGCTGGTGAAATATGCACTGCGTCGCGCCGAACGGTAAGTTTCTAATGGCCTGGCAATTAGTCAAATGTATTCAAGTCTTCCGGCGCGTGGCTCAGCTGAATTAATGTGGGTCGCCACGAGTTTCACAAGCCTGTGCATAATATTTATGCTTCCGCCTTTATTTGACAACTTTTTTAATGCCCTACCCTTTACTTGGCACAGCTTCATCAAGTCCACCGCGCTGGAGTTGGAGTGGCCCGAGGAGCTGACCGAGGCGGGCCGCTACGAGGCGCGCTTCATTGGCAATGACATTGACGACGAGCTGGATGTCGTTGAAAACAAACGTGCCGGCCACTTCTGTAAGTGCACCGCGTTGCTCAGCTCTGTTTGGCAGAGAATAATCTCTTTCCTTTCGCACAGCACGCAAGAAGCTAAAGAAGATGATAATTCCCCTGTTGCTGGTGCTGAAGATCTTCAAACTGAAGCTGCTGCTCTTCCTGCCCTTCATACTGGGTATTGCGGGCCTGAAGAAGATTCTCGGCTTGGCTGCCATCATTCTGCCCGGTCTGTTCGCTTACTTCAAGCTCTGCCGCCCGCCCGGTGGTGTCGGTGGCGCCTTCGGCGGCGGCCTCTCCGGCCTCTTTGGCAGCAAGAACACCTTCCCCGAGTACACGCCCCAGGGCGTGGGCGCTGCCACCTACTACCATCATCATGACCACTTCGAAGGCGGCCATGGCGGCGGTGCACCCGGTCCCTACTATCGGCCGGAGCCATCGTTTGCCAAGCCCTACAGCGACTACTACAGCAAGAGCTACCACCAGGCCGACGGCCAGGTCCAGGCTCAGCAGGTGGGCGGCAACTCCATCAGCTTCGGCGATGCCCAGGAGGGCGCATACAATGGATATTATGGACGCAACACCGGCAAGGACATTGCTGCCGAGCCGCAGGTGCAGCAGCAGAAGAGTTAGATCAGGTTCCGGTCGAGACGAGGTCAGGTTAGGTCATTGTTATTTATTTTGCGCCCTGGCCATATTGCATTCCTATAAGCATATTTATTACGCTACACTGTAAATAAAAGTCCAATATTAAGTTCAAAGCAAATGCCTTTAACAACCCGATGGTGCTAGGAAGGGGCGGGGCAGCTCTTTAATCGAAGGGGTGTGCTAATTAACGGTAGAAAATTTCACTATTGAATGTTTCTCCAAATGTGTTTCGCCTCGCTGTGGCTGCCTTTGAAGCTGCTACAAATAAAATGCAGCTTTTAATTAAGGCAATGAAACGCCGAGGCGAGAAATTGACGGCCAGCGCAAAGGAAAAGTGGCCTGGCATGTTTAATCTTGCTTTTCTTTAACGAGGGCCGTTACAAATATTTTCCAATTGGCAATAATAAAAAAAGAGAATAAGGGGTGGGTCGACCTTTCCTTTAATCAAGGTCTTTTAAAGAACAAACAGTGAGTTGAAAACAGGAATCTTAGAGTCCCACTGAAATTATGAGTTGGCCTACATTTTGAGAGTGAGCTCCTCTGAAATAATGTGTGCTTAGGTTTTCAAATGCATACAAAAAGTATACAAAAAAAAAATTAAATATATGTTTGAACTAATGTCCATCTGGGCTTCCGAATTGGGTTGAGGGCCTTGTCACGTTTTAAATGAGTTTTGAATTTTAATTTATTAGGTTTTTTTTTTAGAAAACAACAATTTAGTGTTTGTTTTGTTAATTTTAAGGAAAAGACATTTTTATTTAGAAGTGGCGTCAGGTCAGCTAGTATATGAGGTATGGAAATTCCCAATATGAATGCACTTTAACTTCAACAATTTTAAAATCACATTATTGAGTGCACAGGATTTTTGTTGGCTTCAGAAATTATTTTTGATTTTTGGAACGGAAGTTTACCAATATCACGAACAGTTTTTTTTTCAGTAAATTTAATATTTTAATAGAAACAGGACTCGTTTCGGACCCTACATGGGCCCTTATGTTAGTTCAATTAAAAGAAAACATTAAAAAAAAAAAATTTATTAAGTTCTGCAAAACTAATGCAAATAAAGTATTTCTCTTTAACTAAAAAGTTTAAATATTGCAACAAATTTATCAAGAGAAATTGATTCTTGCATTTTAGATTAATATTAAAATCGATTTTTGAAAGACTCGCAAACTTAAAGTAATTAGGAAAAATCGATATTGAGAGAAATAATTGAATGTTATTCAAATATTTGTTCTGCAACATTGCGAATGCGAGTAAATTTGTCGAGAAGCTGTAGTCGAGGGCTGTATTGAGCTTTTGCTTTCTCTTTTCTTTTGATGAAACACACAAGAATCAGCATTATTTACGCTGTCTGCTTATCATCAAGTGAGTTCTGGCTTACTCATCAGTTGGGCGCTTCAGCCAATTATTTTTAATTATCTGCTGTCCACGTATTTCTGAATGGAACCTCGTATGGCGTGGCCGGGGACATGGTGTTGGCAGCTTAAAGTCAATTCCAAAAACCGCAGCGCCGTCCGTCCTGGCCTGGCTGGGTGACAACACCGGCAAGGCGACGGCGACGGCGACGACAGCATCGGACCAGGCGACTGGACCACATTTTCCGAAAGAAAGCGGCAGCGGCAGCACTTGAGAAATTGTTATGACTTTGGCCATGGCCAGGGGCAGACAGTCAGAGGGAGGCGGCTGGAGGGGGCGGCTAACTGGCTCGGGCGGACGCAATGTATTTTGATTTTGGTGCGGTTTGATTTGGGACCACGCACAGGCAACGGTTTATGGTCAGATCGTGTAGCGGTTTCTGCGCCAGCCACTTTCGTGGCGTGCCACATTTTGTGGCTCATGTTAGCCTACTTTACTCGCCTTCTTGTTGTTCCTCTTCTCGTTGCTGTTGCTGTTGCTGTTGTTCGTTGGTTGCAGCGTGTGCAATAACTCTGCCCGTGCATGACAGTCAAATTGATTCAATTTGCTGGGTGCACGGTCAAACGAATCATTACCGAACCCTAGCCCCAGTGCAGGCCCCAGTTCTGGGCAAACACAACTCCAATAAATTATGCCCCACTTTGATGTGCAACAAGGCAAGCGTCGCGTGTTTCCAGGTAATGTGAAATTGAAAATGCCAATGCGAGTGAAAATCTGGCCCTGAAATAGGGCACAAATGCGTTGCAAATGACAGGCAACAGCTGCTGTCAGTGCCACACCTGGTGGGGCAGGTTCTGATAAGCAAATGATATACAAACCGATTTGAAACAGGACTTTCAATATGAAGTGTACCCCAAACCAAAACAATTGCTCAATAAACAACTGATGCGAAACCATAAGGAACTTTACTTTAAAAAATGGATTGTTTCAAAGCAAAATCATTTCGGAGAGAAACTTTCTGAGCTTGAGCCCCAAAAAATTATGTATTAAATTAGTATAAAATGTAATTATATTATTATTATTATTATTATTATTATTATTATAATTATAAAAACCTTGACTTTTCTTTTTGGGATTACATACGTGATATAGATGTAAGGAAGGCATTGATTTTAGGTTCTCTGAGCCAGGCTGGATTTGTAATCCAAGCTGAGCTTTGGCCGCAGCTCCACTTTCCCCTTTGAGCTATGAGCAAATATCCATGACAAAAGTCTCGATCACATGTCTGTTAAAGTGCCTGCGCTTAATTGCAGCAACTGAAAAGAGTTTTCACGTTTGCATGCGACGCGCTTTTGACATGCCACCATGCAACAAGAAGCTGCCTACTAAAAAATGCGATAGCACATCGTTGATGCGTCTGTGGGAAGATTTTTGTGTTTGTTGTTGGGAATTGGGTCTGTTGTTTACTTTCAGTCACTTTGTTGTGGCAAAGGCAGGCAAAGAAAACAAAAACAAAAACCCAAAAAGCGAGCAGAACGTAAACAAAGTCAATTGGCCAAAGACAAGGCCAGCAGCGCAGCTTTTCTCAGAATTTCCTTAAACTGGCTGAACAAGTCTGAGTGCCATTTTTCAGCTTTTGGACACACACACAGAGACACATAGACACACACAAGGCCTGGGACTTGTTTGATTAAACGTCGACGCCGCAAAAACAAACATCGACGCCGACGCCGACGTCGACTGCGACTGCGGCCTGCATTGTGTTTGGCCGCTTTTCATATAAAATCGAAATCGCTGGCGGAAAATTCGCATTAGGTTTTCTTATAAGACGACGATGTCAACAGCAGCCGCCGAACAGTCGAGTTCACAGTCGAGCAGAGCGTAGACGGAAAAGCCAACACGCTGCCGGGTTGTTTCTGTTTCTGTTTCTGTTTCTGTGTGTGTGTGTGTGTCAGTGTGTATATGTGTGTGCCAGGACATTTATGAATCGCACAATCTAACAGACTCTATAGTGATAACAAAAATAAGACAACAACTGAAGCAACAATAAAAAAACAAGATGCAAACATTCACTTTCTATACGCTGCTGGGTATGGCCCTCGTTCTGGCCACGGCACGCGCCACGCCCACCCTAAGCGGAAGTGACAACTCGGTAAGGTCAAGCAAAAAAGTTTAACCCAAATAGCAAAGCAAAGTAAGGAAAAACAAGTCAACGATAAGAGTGAAAAATTACACACCAACTCGAGCGGATATCCTTGCCAGCTCTTATCACATTCCAGGCACAGCCCAGGGGCTGCATCCAAATGTCAACCTACGTTAAAAAAATGATTTAAAATAATTGTATTTACTTATTTGTTATCAGGCAGCAGCAGCTGCTGCCAAGCTGTAGCCTTTAGCTAATCGCCTTGGAACCCATTCGCAGATAAACGGGGATTATGGTAACCGGAACGAGGAGCAGATTATGATCAAGCTAAACGAGAAGTGCATACAGAATGACAATCATTCGTGCAGCATGCTCAAGACGATTGTCTTTTTGGATCGTCTGTTCAAGAAGTCCAATTTCGATTTGAGCGAAAATTTCCGCGTGTCGCGCAACAGGTGAGTGACCATATCAGCGAGCTCTTAGCCACCTGTATCACTTATGTATGTGGCCTGGCTAGGGATATGCCGGACGTAGCCGATGATGCCGAGGATGAACTGCTGCTGGCTCGCGCCATGGACTCGGATGAGGAGTCGTACGGCCTGCTGATTGCCAACAAGCTGTGGCGATTCGTGCGCTCGCGTACACTGCGCTACAAGTTCTCGGACAACGCGGACTTTGTGGTGCACAGTGAGCCGCAGGGCAGCCTCAACATTGGCGTCTCGGTGCGGCCTATCGAGGCGCTGGAGGAGGGTCGCGGCAAAATGAAGAACATGGGCCCCATTCTAATGATGATGGCCGCCAAGACGGGCATGGTGGGCGCCATCATGTTGAAGGGTCTCTTCCTGCTCGCAGGCAAGGCGCTGATTGTCTCCAAAATTGCGCTGCTGCTGGCGGTCATCATATCACTGAAGAAGCTGCTCTCGCAGAAGAAGACCATTGTGGAGGTGCCGTCACATCATGACAGCTACAGCTCCGGCTGGTCGCGTGCCCTTGACGGCTTTGTGGAGGGCCTGGCCCAGGTGCCGGCACACATAATGGCACAGGAGGCACAGGACATGGCCTACAGTGCGCAGCAGCCAAGCAAGGTGGCGCAATAAGACGAATGGGCAAAAAAAGAAAATCAATTGCACTACCAAAAAAATGCGAAGCTTTTTATTAACTCTTCACGAATGTTGCATTTACAATCCCCTCCGTAGAGGGGGGAACCCACGCCTTCCTCCGTTTAGTTATGTTTTCTTTTCTTTCTAGCTCTCACTTTTAGTCTTTGTATTTTCTTTTTAATTGCTTTTCCTTTGCTTAAACTACAAACTGTTTGATGTACTTTATTTATTTATATTTATATTTATATTTATTGCTTATTTATATACGTTAATTATGTATTCCACACTAAATAAAATACGTTAAATACACACAATTACAACGTTTGAGCCAACTTGTGCTCCACTTTATTATTTTATTTTATTTATTTTTTTGTCCAGTTTTTGTAGCATTTTCTCTTGCTAATTTCAGGCATATTTCACTAGGCTAAATGTGTGCGTTAGGTCTCTCTAAACTAAGAACAATTCAATTCAATAAATAAACATAAATAGCAATAAATAAATAAGTTAATTATGTTAATAAGCAGCTTAGAGCACGCCTCGTTCCTCCTCCCATCAGATGTTCATATGGCAGCAGTACCTCTCCCTCCCTTCTCCTTCTCTCCTCCAGCTTCTCGCCTCCTCCTTCTTCGCACTGGAACGGTCTTTGGTAGCGGCAGGGACTGCAAAGCTGCACGAATTAGCTATTGGACTCCGAAAATCCCTTGCCCACTCTAGGAGCGGTAAAAGGGCAGCTGCATCTGCGGTTGCACATAGTTGTAGATAAGCGGTCGTCTTGCCGGCGTGGCTGCAACAAATTCACTTATCAATAACCACGCCCACGCTCTTTTCGCCTCTCCTCCTCTTTTTATAATAGTTCATCAAGAGTACGCAATAAGTTTGCAATCAGAGAAATAACTTTTCGCCTTGCCTTTTGATAGCCCGCTTGTGCGCTTGCTTTACGTGCAGCCGCAAAGTATGCAGCGATTTGCAGAGAAAGTGGTTGAGTGTGTGTGTGTGTGTGCACTTTTTAATTGCGGCTTTGTTGTAGAAATAAGTGGTAGTAAAGTCGCAACAGCATAGACTTTAAGCCCATATACAGTTCAGGCAGAACTCCAACTTTTTGCACCACACAGCAATAGCTGCTTAGAAAACTTTGTGGAACGTGCTGTGCCAGCCAGCCTGTCCGCTTACCATTTATGGGTAGATTTAAAAAACATCAGTTGGTGCACATTTCAATTTTGTGGCATGCCACAAAACTGCAAGTTTGTTGAGGGGGGAAGCACACACGGCCAAAGGGCAGGGTTGACAATGAAAAAGTTTGAAATGTGCAGCTCCCAGTTAGTTAAAAGTAATTAAATGTTTGAAAAATTAGTGTGCTGCTTGTTAGACAAAATCTGCTTAAATCTGGTTGCAATTTGAAATTGCATTACAAGTGGGACAACACAGCGTGCCATGGTCCCTAGCTACACCAAAAGTAGAAACGTTTCAGTCAAAAGCTTTCGCTTCAAGCCCCAGATTTGGTACAAGAATTGTTCTCTAATTTTTAAAAATTGTATTCAATTAAATTTATAATTTATAATTATTCAAAAATTTTTCATTTGTATTTTGGCATCTACCACATTTGGCTGGATACAACTGAAAGTTGAGCCACAAGTTGTTTATGCTCTGAAGCTGAGTCTCTCTCATAAGTTGTTAAATTTCATTCAAATAATTTTCGATGGGTTGGCTTGTGGCTTAGTAATTTATCTGGGTAACAGATTTGATTTTGGGTTCGGTGCTTGTTTAAATTATATTTAAATTTCGGGATCAAATTGGTTCGGTTTTAAGCCCGGTTGGCAGCCTTAGGCTTAACTGTCCTGTCAACTCACAGTGCTAATCTCAAGGCCTTAAAGCAGACGCCTCTTTCATTTGTCTATTCTAGCAATAGGTATTACACGTTCTTCACTAAAGCTCTGAGGCACTTAATCTACAGTCCCTTAAGAGCATATATTTTATCAGTATGGAATGATAAGCTTGACGCAAAATATATACAAATATATTTATAAAGGTATGATAAATAATCTCATAATAGGAGATACTCTCAACCAAGCGTCGAGTACTTGCAAAGGCAAGTATTTTATCCACAAGCAGAAGAACGCTTTTTATGCCGGGACTCAGCTGCTTCTCTTCTTAGCTCCACACTATAGAATTTATTGAAATCGATTTTTATCGATTCGGTGCTCTAGATCTCTCTTTCGTCTATGATGTCAGACATACGGATATGACTAGATCCTGATTGTAAGCCTTGTACACTTTACACTTAGGTAAACATTTGCAATTGGTTCAGGGTATTAAAAAAAGAGCGTTGGAATTATGAGAATCTCTCAAGTGTTCATTCACCTTTTCCTTTGCCGTTCAGAGTGCGGTGCTCAGCTAAGCTATATGTGAATGAAATATCTTATACACCTGTTCAGAGCCAAGGCCGTGCAAAGCAAACAATTCTAGGGTATATACACTACTCAGTAATCGTCCTCATAGTCAGCCTCAACGCTGGCCTCGGCCACGACCGCGGCCACGGCGAGCATCTGGGCAGAGAGCTGGCCAGGTCTGTGCCAGCGTTGGGCTGGCGATCTACCAAAGCGCACTGGCCACATTAATTGGGCTATCTGAAACAAGGGTAAGGCTGTTTTATGGCGCCGCACAGAATGCACTTACTCTTCGCTATCCAAGAGTCCTCACGTTTGATCTTGTGGCCCAGTCCGCCGTAGGCGCCGAGCGCGGCCAGCGGATTGGTATTGTTGCTGCCATCGCTGGAGACCTGCGACTGCAGATGACTCTCGGCGGCCATGCTCTCCAGTCCGGGATGGCCGGGATGCGGCAACTGGCCGCCGCCAGCCATGGCTAGCTGATGCAGTGCGCCGGGGAACATGTCTGGCGACAGCTCGGCGGCATGCATAGGATAGTCCATTCCGTAGGGCATCATGTAGGGCGTGTGCTCCGGGTACTGGTACATCATCCTGCAAACGGGAGATGGGAGGAGTGGAGGTTGCTGAGCGTGCGTCCGACTTACTTTTCGCCGGCATTATCCATTAGCTTCTTGATCAGCACAATGGCGGCCACGACAAAGGCTATTTTGGAAAGGATGAGCGCCTTGAGGGTCAGCAGGCCCACCGCCTTGGCGGCCACCATGGTCCAGCCAAAGGTTGTCGCGGCCAGATACATGGGTATGTACATTTGGAACTGTTTCTTGTCCTGATGCTGCTGACGACGACGTCCGCCCAGCAGGCCACCGCCGCCGCCGCCGTCGCCGCCCCCACCCAAAAGGCCGCCGCCGCCGCCGTTGCCGCCACCCAAGAGTCCACCGCCGCCTCCTAGAAGTCCGCCGCCGCCACCGCCGCCGTTGCCCTGCAGGCGTCCTGTTGTGAATTTGTGGAAACAGGACACGTTTTAAGCTTTATGGCTTTAATATTGCTTGATGTGTGAGTGGTGAGTGGGAGTGGGGCCGGGTGGCAAAAGTAGTTTGGACTGGATTGGATTTGTGCTTCGTGATATGATTGATGTTTTCAACAGCATCGTTTGCGCAACGAGCGTCACACCTAATGAATATAAATAATGCCAACTATGCCTACTGCTGCCTCAGGCCATTTATATGCGCCAGAGGTCCTGCCAAGGTTAGGCCGGCGACATATGTTGGCCCGGAGCTACAAACATTAGGTCAACGGGCGGCCGAATGCGGCTCGCATAACAACTACTCAAAATGTACTCCAATTGGACAGCATATGTTTGGGCTCTGATTGGGATTAAGTGACCGCACGGCCAGCCAATTAGGCACAGATCAATCAGGCAACCGTGGCCATTGCCATTACCTGTGCCACTCGACGCCTTCTTCAGCAGCGCCACTTCAATGTAATCGCTGTCGTCCTCGGCCCGCTGCACACTGAACACCATGGGCCCGACGGGCACGCGTATCGCATTGCCGCTGACAAAGTCCATGAAGCTGGACAGAGCACGGCCGCTGCCCCACTTGTGCCTGTGCGCCTCGTCCAGCGGCGGCAGCCTCACCAGATCGAACAGACCCAGCTTTATGGTCTCGCCGCGGCGATAGGAGGCCACGATGCCATTGGCGACGCTGTGCAGGCAGCTGGCATTGTTGGCGCACTTCCAGCTCAGCTTATCCAGCAAATCTGTGTTCTCCACTAACTTCGGTTGCGTGGGTGTCGCTTCCGCTTCGGTGCCCAGCGCATTGGCCGCCCTGGCGCCGCTGCGTTTGTGGATGGCCGCCGAGTTTGGCGGTGCGCACAGAAGCGCCAGCAACGCGCAGCTCGCAGCGATGTACTGCAACATTTTAGCGTTGATTTATTGACAGGAAGAGCCTCTGCTTTTTCTTCTTATTTTTATTTTTTTTTTTTTTATCGAGCACAGTACGGTACACTACACAGCACAACACAGCACAGGATTAGGACGAACACGAGCACGCGGCGTATCCTTCACATGGATGTTCTTCAATGTAGTTGGCAGTTGCTGCAGCGCGTTGCAACAAGCCGCTATAAAGACTAATTACTTGCTATTGCATGCAGCTCAGTTTTATTGTTTAGCCAAGCAACAGCAGCAGCAGCAGCAGCGGCAGCAGCATCCACCGTACAGCGACGGCGGCGCCGGCATCGCAGCAACGCCTAAGCATATTATGCTGTGAACCACTTTGCCACAGTTTTGATTTCAAGACAACCAACTGAGTGACGGCCATCGCTCAGCGGGCATCCAGTTGCAGCAGACAAACATGCCATGCACCGTGTGGCAAAGACGCATCAACATTAAGCAAAAACTTAACAGTTGAACAACAGTGCGTATGCATTATATTTGAGATATTATTTCGTTTAAAACAAAATACAAATTAGACTTCAACTGTGTTGTAATTCAAATGTATGCTATTTTCCAAGACAATAAACATTTATAAACAGTACGACTACATTTGTTTTTTAGTCAAAATGAACATATGGGCAATGGTGCGTATGAGCAACATTTGAGACTGAATGCATAACCAAATAAAAGTAATAATTTGGATAATATATAATAAATAAGAATTGAAAATTAATATTATTATAAAAGAAATATGCATATGTATATATGTATATATTAAAATTCCAATTAAAGCGTGTTGAATGTAATGAAAACATAACCAAATGATAATTATTATTTGAACAATGTGTAATAAGTAACAAAAATATATATAATTATGAAAAAG